CTCTCGTGCAACCGACGAGTCCACGGTTTTTATTAAATTAGCTGCCTCGAGCTGGATGAAAAGTCCTGCGGTTGTTGGTGGCGCGCGAGTCATTTTACTTCTGCATCGATGCCATTTACGTGGGTTCATACATCGAACCGTGTTGATCATGTATCGAGGTTATGTTTGGAAAAAAATGTTGGATATGATTTAGATTAATTTTCGTGAAAGAAAAAAAACAATTTTTCCTAAAAATCCTAGAAATCTTAATTTTTCTAAACTATTGATAATCGTTTTAATTCAGAATTTTAAGCAGTATATTCAAATTCTGATTAGCAATAAATTAACCCTATCATGTAAATGTTTGTTCTATCAATAATTACCAAATGTGTAATCTGTAGTTCGTAATTTAATGGTTCATTGAATCTACGCTAACACGTTTATGCATCATTTATTATACGTGACCTATTTGTTTCCCTATTTATTCAGCAACTTATTTTTTAGTAATAATAAACTAGCTCTATAATAATATATTATAATATATTATAATATAGAAAAAACCAAAATCTATATTTTCATGAAGCTGTTCATAAAGATCAAGGAATTCAGAAAAGTGAAAAAAACTTTGAAAAAGCTAGAGGATCCAATTGCGATCTGGCACAAAGATTCTAAAAAGATCAAGATATAATAGAAAACTAAGATCCTTTAAGAAACCATTCACAAACAGAGATTCTTGGCAAAGAAATTCAAGAAATTCTGAAAGTTAAAGAAACTTTCCACTCGAAACTAAAAAAAACTAGAAAAAATTTCCAAAAAGTTAAAGATCACGAAGGAATCACTCGCAACGTGGAACGAAGATTCCAAGAAGATCCAACGATTCAAAGGTGACTCGAAGGTGATATCGTACCGAGAATAAACCACGATCCCATCCCCACACGTGAATTCCGCACGATCCATGGTCGGTCGAGAGTTACGCGAGCGGTTCCTGTGCAGGGTGCCTCGCGGTACTTCCGGTACAGAAGCGTGTGGGACGCGCGCGAGATCCGTGGAACGATCGCGGTCCGCCTTCGCCCACGATCGGCGGGGGGGAGCACGGCGACCAACCGCGATAAACGGCGTGGCTGCACTTATATATGACCGGTAATTATTCATGTCGAGGCTGCGTCCGCCGGGGTTATGCAGATGAGAGGGGGCGTGGCCGTATGCAACGCGCGTATTACGGCTGTCCTCGCCTCCAAGGAAGACGCGCGCTCATCTTTCCCGTATCTACGATCGGCCGTCACGACACGCGCGCCTCTGTCCCTGCCCTGGATATTTCCCGTGGTGAAATACACAGTACGGGTGTGTGTGTGTACGCGGTAGTTGGGTCCCGTGTCCGCTGTCTCGTCGTAGGAATAATTTACTGTGCCGGGAATAATTAAGCGATTAATTAAATCTGTTGGCACGGCGGGGTGGAGAGGGGTGGATTGGAAGGAAACGGTGATTGATGGGTGAGAGAGTCGAGGCTTCTGGGATTCTTGTCCCGGGAATTTTTGTCCCGGATTATTTTGCTGGATGACCGATCACTTGCCATTGCAATCGTGGAGATAATTCGAGGACAAGTCTTTCATTTTGATGAAAATCTTTTTCGATGTTAGTGTGCATCAAATTGGTAAATCCTGTTGAAAATAATTAATAATTAGTGTACATAATTGAACATTATATTACTTTAAAAACATACGATATCATTCATAAAAATTCAGAATATTTAAAAAATAATTTTTTTTTCAATCTAAGAATTCTAAATTATGTTAGAAATGGAAAAATTAATTCTATTCAAATATCGTGCGAATCAAAAGTATATATGGGACCACGATCCTCTAACCTCAAAGTCGATCGTTCAACACGACGCGAATTTTCGAATAAAGTCGACTAAAGCGCGCAGGTGTATGTGAAAGCATCCAACAATGAAGGGATCGCTTAATTTTGCAGAAACTGGAATCTGGCTTCTCGCTGGCAAAGGGCGAGCTTCCCTTCGACCTCCGCTTCTCCTCTTTCTTTTACAAACTGTTCATAATCCGTCCAAACAAAGGCTGATTGCACCAAAAGGCAACAGAGGGCAATACTGAAAGGGAGACGACAGCTTTAAACGAGATTATCAAACGATTAAAAGAATTTCAACTCCGTGTTTTCTCTTCCTTTTTTCTTTTTTCCTTTCCAATTCCTCTTCTTTCCTTTTCACTCCCTCTCACATTACTTTTTTTCGATTTTTATCCCCTTTTCTTTCTCGGGCGTATATTTCCTTCCTTTATCCCTCCAGATCTCATTCCTATGCTTTTTTTTTTTGCCTTCTAAACTCTTCAGTGCCTCAGACTCCATCTAGCGGTTGTTTTTTTAACGTAACCTCTACCACGGTTCCTCGTTCCGCCTTCCTCTATCACTCTCCTTTTTCTGCGTTATTTATCTCTCTCCCGGTCGGTTCGTTCCGCCGCGTTTCTGTCTCTGGCCCATCGTCGGTCACCTCCCGGGCAATTTCGTGCGAAGCACGAACGAACGAACGAACGAACGAACGAACGCGGCGTGGCGTGTGGGTGGACGAGAAAAGAGCACAGAGCGTGCAACGGCAGGGTAGGGATCGGAAGAGATTAGCCCCAGGAGGCTCCTTTGTGCAGCAATGAAAATGGCTTGTCTCAAAGAACCGCGACGGATACATTTTTAATTACCTCAAATATCACTCGGAGAGCTCGCCCAAGTTTCTTAATTAAATGTCATATTGCGCCCGCGGGCCACGTGATCCTCCTTTCGAAACACAGAGAAGACGGTGGGTATAAGTATATCTAGTAGTGGAAGAGGAAGAAGGAAAGGAGGAAGAAACTTCTCTGGCATCGAAGATCTTTTGAGCTGGTTGGTAAATATTAGCTGTATTAATAATGGGCTCGATGAAGCGCGACCGAGAAACTCTGATCCGAATTGCTGTGCCAATTTGCATTGTTCTTCGGCGAAGAATAACAAGCTATGGTGGAGAACCTGATTCCTCGGATGACCGATGAACCTTTATTGTACTTCTCCTTTTCTTCCTCCCTACTCGAGGAATGGGAGGATATTATTGATCAGCGACTCGATTCTAGTGTTATACTTATCAGATAGAAATTGTATGATTGTATCAGTGAGACCTGGATCGATGGTTCTCTGGTAATTGAACACGTACTTAGGTTGGTAATTTTAATTATTTGCTCTTCGTTATATAATTCAATATTTTTCACTGGTAGTCGATATAGTCGATGCCATAGAATTGACCTGATTGAATTGACAACGCAATCTAAAATAAGAAATCATTAAGTATAAATGTTAGTAACAATTAATACTTTTAATTTTAACTTTGGTGTAATTATAAATTCGATATTATCATCAAATTTATAGATTGCAAATCAAAAAAATAAATAAATAATAGAACGTTCACACATCTTAAATTTAAATCCATAAATGCTCTAACAAATCTCTTACATTAGCACTAGAAAACAAGACTACACATCCGAAAGCATCAGCATTCAAGAAGGCGCGAAAAACAAAAGAACCTAACCTAACCAAACGATTCTCCTTCGCGTAATGTAAAATCATCTCGCAATAATCCTAAATAATTTGTCTGTGCGAAACAGAAAACGTGGCCCCCAATAGAGGGAAGAGATTCTCAGGCCTTGGCTACTTATGCCAGTCGTGGAATTCCCCGGTAATAGAATTGCAATATGGCCGGTGCGCGGATATTGGAATATTCGCCAACGCACAATCACTGACTAGCCAAGCGACTGAATTTGAATATAACAACGGCTGCGCACTCATACACACCGGGGCATGCGCATAAACCACCACGGATACATATCTATACCGAGTGTTCGCCGCTCGAAACGCAGGGCGACACGCTCGCATTCGCTTCTTTTTTCTTGATACAAACTATAGCGTTTCAATACTGTTTCCATGATAGTACCCATGTCTCTATTTTTTTCAATCCAATTCGAGCTTGACCAATAGAAAAGTTGCAAACAAATTGTACATAGAGGGCAAAATCTGTTGAATAAATTAGGATATTTCAACACAATTACTAATCAAAAATTTTCTTGAAATTTTTGATTCGAATATTACAATTTATAAGAAATTCTCATTTATACATTCTATGATTCTTATTCTTTAAAGATCGGAATTTCATCTTGGATATTTTTATAACAATACTCTAATCTCTTCGATAGGGAAGAAGGGAAAAGAGAAAAAACAGAAACATTTTGATAAATAGGAAAAGAAAAATTTGAATCGAACGTTTCAAAACTGATTCAGAGAAATGAATTTTACCAAAATCGACGTAGACAAAGTGACGTGAAGGAAAGGCAAAGAGTCAGTCCGCCGTGTTCAGGGCTCAAAAATCCTGCTGCAGGGCAGCAAGTGTGGTGGAGAGGGGATGAGGACGAAGGGCTGGCGCACGATTTCCCGCAAATCCGTGGAATAACGCATGGTAAATCCCGGCTTCAAACAAACCGGTGTTTGCAGGTCGCCGCGCAGTCTGCTGGTTGAAAATGCTAGAAATGGGCCGTGTGTAAGGCAACGGCTCTATGCGAACCGCTCGCCAACATCAAATATGAAAGCTCGCAATTATATAAAGCTAAGAGTGGCCTCTATCCACGCCGGAAATGCAAACCGCGTTTTGCACGCCTCTGTATTCTGCCTCTTCTGCTCACCCCTCGCCCTTCCGACTACTCTTGAAACGACATGCTTTAAATCGATTTCAAAATATAAGATTTTGTTTTGATTTTCAGATAAAAGATTTTATATACATATACTTACATATATGAGATATATATACAGTAATATATGCAGTAACTGAAAAAAAATTTATATCTTTGTGAATTATAAATTTGTTATAAGAAATTTTTTATAGATTTTATGATAGTTGAATTTCTATTAAAATTAGTTATCTTTTGTTAATAATGCTTAAAGAGTTTTATAAATATAAAATTTTATGAAATAAATCTATATTTTAAATATTAGTAAGAGTTTAAAGTATATAATGTTTTTGGTGATAGTTTAATCTTTATACAAACTACAAACAAAGAAAAAATAAAATATATGATCCATATAAACAAGTTTATTGATGGACTGCACGAATGTGACGCATAGCAAGTAAAATCACGTAGACAAATGTAAAGTAACCAGCAATCATGGTATAAGAAACACACGTGGCTCGACGCACGATCATTCTTTGTCAACTCGACGTGTCGCAGTCACACCGTGAACCCTATTTGATCGATGTGATTCAACGTTTAGACATGCCAAGGGAACATAGTTAATGAAAACAATCTGTTATGAAGATGCGTGTACATTTGAACACTTGCACTTTTAATCGGTATTATCGAATATTTTAACAATATTTTAATATCTTTCTATCTTTGTGCAAAAATATATTTATACAAAAATTATATAAATGTAAAAAATTAATCATAATTCTTCGGCATTTTTGCTTTCAGATTCACACGAATTGTGATCGATACTTCCCTGAACGTGCCACGCGTGTTTCGTTACGAATCATGAACAATCGTTACGCAAGATAAGTTTCACCGAGTTTTCTGCTCCGCATTCGTGACGGAAAATAACGAGGAAACTGTAATTACATTCGCCTGTTACGTTAGCCTTTGTCGTTAGCCTATAGAAAAGATTCTCACGTGTTTCGCGATATTGCCATCACGATTCCAACCATCATTTCCTATGAATATGTTATATAAAAGAAACCTTACTGATCAATAAAATTATCAGTATCCTCAAACATTGAAAATATCTTTGACAATATCATTTGAAAGAATCTCAATTTTGTAATAAACAGAGATTTCTTCCTCCAAAAGGCGAACATCAAAAGATAGGTCAGCCGCAACAACCCTCGCGGCTTCTCGCTTGTCATTCGCAATTCCAAAATTCCATTCTGAACAAAAAGTTTCATCCTCTTCTGCGTTTTAAGGGGGAAACTGGGCCGCGAATAAAACCGCGCGACATATTTTAATCAAAGTGCTTCTCGCGACCCCCTTGATTTTTCTTTGCTCTCCGCCACGAGAAATTCGACATATTCCAGTGTTAGTCATAAGAATGCTCCCTTCGAATAACTTCAGGTTTTCGTGGTCGCTTTGAGTCGTGATTTCATTCTGCTTGTGTTTCGTTTTAAAGCATTGGAAAGCTTTATTTCGAAAATGTAATCTAGATGAACAAAATAGGGTTATCGAGTTATATGGATTTTCAAATGATTATAAATTACAGGAAATTATATATAATTTCTAGATCAAAAAATTAGAGTCATTTTTCAACGATTTTTTAACTTAAAAGATTAAATGGAATTTATTATTTAATTGCAAATTTTAAAAATTAATCATATATATGCAAATTAATAATTTGTATATTATGATACGTATTTTTATTATGGAGTACTATATATTGAACGAACCATAAAATTCTGTGATAGCAGCATTTCCATGAAAAATATTTGAAATCAATATTTTATCTTAATATTTGAATCTCAAACAAATTGAACTGGAATAGTCCTTGATCTGTTAAGATATTAGTACAAGATTAAAGTAAAAATGTTTTAAAAGAGAAATAAACTTAAACTTTGTAATAAAAAATTAAAATTAATGAAACGATCAATATATCATATGAACAAAAGGCTTATATTGTTGATTTTATAACATAATTTAATAAAAATTATTATCAAATATAGATCTTTAAATTTTACTAAAATCACGAAAATTGTTGAAAATTGCGATTGATTCTAATTTTTTGAACAAAAGATCTGCAATTTGTAATTCATCTTTTATATTTTCTATTATACATTTATATTTTTCAGAAAAAATTTATTCAAAAATTAAATATACTTACAATGTTGACAAGCCGCGTAAACAATGCAGGAACGAACAACAACTACGCTATTGTTTACCTAACGATTATTTACGTTATTGTATCTACGATTTTCGACGTTGCAGCCGCTTATCGCCGGGTCGTGTTCCGAGGAACCGACCGCATTGTTTGAAACATGCCGCTTGCCAGAATAATTTTCCACGTGTAATCCATTCCCTGCTCCCGGCTTGGAATACCTGATTCCTCGTTGCCAACGTTAAACCTGTGTACGAGAAGTTTCTCATATTACAACACATAATATTGAACATCGTTTACAGATTTTTGAGATCATTCCATTTTTATTTTTGCTTCTTCCTTTAATAATTGTATCACATTTTTTGGATAATTTTATACAATGCATCAAAAATAACGTCATAATCTATCGTTTTTCTACATTTTTGTTCCAAAATAATCTTTATCGAAAGATTGAAAGAAAAAATACGAATTGAAAGTACCAATACAATCCTAACACCATCCCTTAATTTTAAAGTTTCCATTCCACCGCTCCCTCGAAAAACATCGTGTCGCAAAACAGCAAACTCCAATCCACCCCAATCCACGATCACAGAGAGAATCCAGCAAAGGCGAGGCAAAAGAAGCATCCACCCCTCCGTAACGCGACATTCCACTGTGTTGGCTTATAAATTATTTAATCAAGCCCGAAGTAAGCGGAAAGAAAGTTACTCGCGCCGTTAATTCAAGCGAGATACAACTAAAAGGGAAGAAGCCATGGATGGAGCCAACAAAGAGGGGGAGAAAAAAGGGGGAAGCTTCCTCGAGTGGAAGGAAGAAGAAACGAGTAAGGGAGGGGTGGAGTCAGGATAGGTCAGGGTGGCTCCAGGCAGTAATAAGAACGACGGCATAGTTTTAACTTCTCTTTTACGCCGGCATTTTCCTCGGCGCTCGAGCTTTGTGCGAATGAAAGCACAAATTGCTTAGGTTCAGTCTTCTGGGAGACATTGAGACACTCTCCACGCTCTCTCTTCTAACTTCACGAAGTCGACCGTGTTCCTCCAGACTCCGTATCGTACCATCTCCTTCTTCGTTGATGCTTTTTTCCACAGAGGCTCCTCGTTCCCGTTTTCCTGAAAGGAAAGTATGGCGTTAAAAGCTTCCGCCGCACGAGTTTCGCCTTGTACACCTTGTTTCTTATGGTCAATTCGAAAGTTGATTTTGTTTCTTTCTTCTAGTGGTAGAACGTTAGTTACTTAGTTATTGATATTGATTTCAATTCGAATATCATGCTTAAATGAGTGAAAAATAATAATCAACTGAAAAAGAGATAAATACATTTATGAAAAAATATTCAATTTATGGAGATAATTCTAATTTAATGAGAAAATATTTTGTGCGATAGTTAGTTTGAAAATAAGATAAGCGATAGCGAGAAAATAAAAATGGATGCAAACGGGAAGGCTAGAGAAATGTCACAGGAGATGATGGAAAAGGGCTTGGACTTGAGTAAAAGTAATGGATTGCAGCAGCGTGGTATACGTACGGTATAGCTCCGGGAGATGCACTATCGAATGTTTTATTCATAAGCGTAGAACAAAGCCTGCTTGTTTATCCTGAGGACATCTCTCAGTGTGCAATACTACAACGCTTCCCAAAGACCACAAGTTGCATTTACGCGTCTTCAGTATAGTTGCATCGAAAATCATGACTACCATTCGATACTGAGTATGGTTGACAATAATCTTGATATTGAGATAGACCTACTACATGTGGATACTTGTATAGCATAGTAGAATAATGCTAGAAAAATAATGCTAGAAAAATAATTTAGTAAAAATTTAAATTATTGTTTCTTTAAAAATTATTGTTTCATACAATGAATAGAATGTAATTATTTCAAAAAATATTTTATATAAAAAATATTAGATTAAAAAATCTAAAAAAGAACATATTAAATTCAATGTATAAAATATAAAATTCTCTAACTATTACAAAATTCTCTAACTATTAAATTACAAATCATATCTAATTCAAATCATTTCATTCAAACATTAAAATCTTCCAAAATAATAAATAAGTATCAAACGTTCAATTACCAAGAACAAAGTAAAATCACTTCAATGATAACCAAACGAGCTAAGTGGTGGCAACTCGAAAAAAAAATTTTAAAAGAAACGTATGATCGCAACGTCAACGAGCGCTCGTGGGCACCCGGCGAATTGCCCTAATAAAAATGCTACACTGCCTACGCTTTTTTTCGCGTGGGAGTTAGCCAACTGTCGGCCGAAAAAAGAAGGCCTCTAGTAGCCCGACGATCACAACGCTTGATAACCGTGAACGCAGTAGCTCGGTTACAGTAGTATCATTGTCATTTGTATCTCCACGGGTGCACCCTGCCACCGACGACAATCAAAGGACCCCATGATCTTTCTCTTTTTCTTGGCTTAGTCGAGTTTGCTTTCGTTTGGTCGCATAGCTGTAGCGCGATATCTCCCTTTGTGGGAGACGGAGATACGTCTCAAACCGACTTCTGAGAATCATACTGTTTTCTGTGTCTAATTTTTTGTATGATATAGTGGTTTCTGCTGTCGAAGAGGTTAAGATAGAGGCTTGAATAAAAATTAAATATTAATCGAAATATAATTTTTATAATTTTTGTTCATTAAATATAAAATTTACCTCGAAATTTTATTATAAAAGATAAATTTACTTACTTGAATCACTTCAAACATTCCTTTCTAAATTATGAAACCACTTATCCTAACCTAACTTATCTCGATTCATAATGAAATGATAGATTTGATTATAATAGATTTCCAATTGCTAATAAATTCAGTATAAAGAATAATTCTGTATAAAGGAATGATAGAAAAAGAGTATGGTTGTTCGTGAGTAAACTTCATTCTCCCTTTTGACCTCGTTAATTGTCATATCGCATCTCGAACTTGAAGCTCGAACTCTCTGCGGTGAGAGGAGCGATACTGGTGTGTGGGTGGATCGCGATGATTTACGAGAAGCGTTGTTCCGAGGCTCGGACTGGACTCCAGAGACGCTTTGCTGATAGCGTCAGAGCCACATAAGTCATCGAGACTATACGTACGAGTCTCTCTCCTTGTCTCAACTTCCCTCTCTACCTATATTCTTTTCTCCTTTCCTCTTTTTTCCCTCGACGCGTATCTTCTTTCTTCTTCCCCTTCAGGCAGTCTCTTTCTTCTCTTCATACTTTTTCTGATTTCTAGGTTAGATTTTCTTTGTCCGGAAAAGTGGACCACGTGAACGATCTCTGTTCCTAATCTTCTTTGGCCGTCCATTATCGGAACCTCAATTATAACGTGGACGATACGAACGAAGAATTATAATTGCTTTCTATGTCGCACATTGGAAGTGGACCCTTGCGTGTCTCGACGATGAATCGCGCACATTGGAGGGTTCTAGGATAATTGACAAATATTAATGTTCCATTCGATAGTTACGATAAAAGGAACGCGAGATAGATAGAAAAATTCAAGAAATATTGTGTTTTCGTAAATATAGATTATTTTAGTAAAGATATTAGAATATATATAATTGTGAATTAATAATTGCTAGTAATTTATTTTTTGCAGTATTTGTATTTTGTATAATTATGTATAATATTTAAAAAATTCAATTAAACAATTAAAATTTATATGAATCATCTATGATTCAATAATATTAAAAAGAATTCATTAAAAAAAATATTAAAATATTATAATTTATTTTAATATAAATTTCACTCTCTGCTTAATCTAGTAACTTTTTTGTAAACGATTCTTTCATATCAGTAGTGTTACATTATGCTTACTATCACATGGATGTTTATTTCAAAAACCACGAAATTCTAAGATGAACTTGTGAAATAAGACTCGAGACTGATAGGCGTGAAAGTATTCTCGACCTCTTCCTTGCATCTCACGACATCTCGAATTACCTATCTCCTCGACGTGTCAGCCAACGTTTTGCGTTTTACCACGGCAAAATTAGTTCCTGGATTTACGCTCGCGACGCGAAGGAATTTTCTGCCTTTATGCTACTCGAGTATGATCGGCTCGTAATTAACGCGAAGATTGAGCAGAGTTTTTGGTTCGAGTTAAGGTAGAAGCGTGAGATACGTATAGTGAAATATAATGGAAAGTGTGTGTATTTTATGAAAAGAGGTTAGAAATTAAAGAGAAGATATTAATTATATAAATGTTATGTGTATATGAAATAATTAAATTATAAAATAATCAAGATTACTTGAATAATAGAAAATACAAAATATTTCGAAAATATAATATTTAAAGTATTTTATATAATTATATGTTTCTTAATAGCCATTTTCAAAATAATGAAGATCTGATTCTTAGAGTTTTAAGAAACATATCATACTAAGTATGTGACAAGAGGAGGTTAGATTTACGAATTGTGATAATAAATAATGGATCAAAGGACAAATCGTGATGAGAAGTCAAGTGCTGCATTCTAAGATTAAATAAAGTATGGTCGTCTTTTGCGGTATGTCCCAATTAAGACTGATTTTCTCCGTTTCCTTTCCGGTATTAGTGTCACGGTGAACGCGCAATCTCAGAATCTACGGGTATTGTGTGCCGACCGTTCGTCCACTTTACAATCCACGCCATGAATATTACATGGCTTCTTACCCAGCGGAAAGATAATTGTCAAGAGTTCTAAATACGGCCAGTTGTAGCCGGGTGGACAGAAAATGCATAATACATAACGCGACGAGAAAACGAAAATTTACGACGCGCATGGCCACCGTTCTGCCGTGCTAATCTACTGGGTGACTCGCCGCCGACTGAATTAATTCGTTTGCAATGCCGGTGAAAACTATGATTACGCGCTCTGTTCCATGATTCGATTCGTTGCATCCCAGTGCTGTTGCTGTGTAATTTTTAACGATTAATACGAATTCCTGCGCGACTTGCCGTATCGTAATAGAGTCAGCTTATTTCATCTTTCTGTGCAGTTAGAGTTTCCTCTGTAGGTCTGATTTGATCGTGTCAAGAATTCAACAAGAGCATCATATCACGTGCAAGTAAGTGAAATTAAGATTATGAAACGATTGGCAATTGGAGAAAAATTTAAGATTAAATGGCTTTAAATAAATTAGGTTATCACGAATCATTTTCGAAAATGGAATCAATAAATTTGTGAACAATTGAAGTAAACAATTAAATATTTACAGACAATGTTAAATCTTAATATTCAGAGATGTAAGAGTGTATTAGAATAGGATTCGCATAAACGATACGATCTTCGCGGTTGGTCAGATACGACTTACTACGATGCTTTTTGCATCCGTTGCATAGATTTCCCGCTGTTAAACTGTATGACAAGTATAAACGATGATTTATAAAGGGTTTATGTCTACCATTTGCACATGTAGCTCAAGACGTGTCTTCCACTTTCTACCTATTAACCGTTTTCTTTCAACGAAGACTGGGCTGATTTCTTATTTCAAAATATCGGAGACGATTTAGCCTCACGGGCACGATCTATTTTCCGGGCATAAATCACGTGATGAACGAAACCCTGCGTCATTTTTGAAGATAGTTATTATATCGACGAGACTGGATAACCTGTAATTAAGGACCTCTTGTTTTCATTCGTTCGATACTATTCTTTAATGAGAATTCGAAATTCAATTCCAATTTTGACTAGAATCAAATTTATCTTCATTCAAAAGATTTGCTTAAGCGTGTTAACATATTTTTATATATAAAATATGTTAAAATATGTAAAATAAAATAAATAAATATTTGAGGTTATATATAATATTTAAAAGATAAATTTAATTTAGAATTACGAATATGATAATAGTTTAAAAAAATTAAAATTATAAAATCACAAAAATTCTATATAATTCTAAAATTTTATTTATTTATGTTTTATATTGCAAGATTATCATTTTCAGATAATGCTAACCCTCGAGACTGAATTATAATTCTATGATAATTTAGAAATACATTGCAGGTGACTCTAGCGTGACCAAAAGTGTCCTCTTTAAATAAATATGGACTGAAGCGGAACAACCCTTGACGAATCAGCAGGTGTAAGAATTTGTACACCTGAAATATATTCTAAATTAAAAATCATCTGATAATTTTCATGCAAAAGTATGAAGTTTTCATTGCAATAGTTGTATGTGTTATACAATAGATCTACTAAAACTACTTTTTATATTATAATAATATAAATTTAATAATTAATGATTCAAACACAAAATAAAAACAGTTAACAATAATAATTTTTTAATTACTTAAATTTCAATAAATTCCCAACTTTCTCACATATTAATACAAAAAAATATTATGAACAAAATTATAATTACAAATATATATAATTTTTATTTTTAATTTATTTTTAATTTTTAATTTATTATATAATTATAAATATATATAATTTTCAAAAATCGCTTCACTTTCGATCTAACCTCTCCAATCTCGTCGAAAATTCCATTCAAAACATTCGGTTAACGCGCTTTCATCTCGACTCTGGCAAAGAAATCTGTTCGCGTACAGGAAGAGGCACGTAAATTTCGCCGGGATAAACTTTTCAATCCTGCAGACCTTCGTGCCACTGACGAATTGCGAGCGGCCATGCTGTGACAGATGGATCTTCGTCGGACGGTCGACGTGTCCGCCCCCTTTCGCAAGCGTTCCCGATCGACGAACCGCTAATTTTCTCGGACAACCGCAATAATAATAACCCGGTCAGGGAGGGGTCGCATTAAAATGCACCAATAACAATCCTTAACCGGGACGAACCCTGTGATTACTTACGGATAAATCTTTGCCGTCAGTAGTCGACAGATATCTAGGATCTTCTCTAGAACCTTTCGAAAGGGATCACGGTGGGCCACCATCTTTCCTTCTATACATTTTTAACGAAGTCCCTTTTTCACGCAATTTTGCCAACAAATTTCGCATCGATCAAACGCTGGCAAGGCTGACAATGAGATTAAAAAGTATGGCTCTGTTCTGATTCTAGTTTGAAGAACATTAATTTATATGGTCGTTTTTAATAGGTTATAATTAATTCTTGATATTTTATTATAGTATAAGATCTTCCGAGAATTCGATTTTTTTTTGTATTGCTGAAATAAATTTTTTTTTATTTTCTTTTATAAGTAATATAAAAGAAATGATTGAATATAATAATTAACATATAAAGTTCATTTTTACGAGAGTGTATCATTAATGAAAAAAAAAAAAAAAACTAAGCAAAAAATTTCCTTTTGCTCAAGATTACTTATACTTAATATAAAAGAGCGAATAAAAAAACAAAGGTAAGAAAATTTTTGCTTAACAACCCGTCATTAATCAATCATTTCTTAATGACAACATATTCAGGCTTACTTTGAGAAAAATACATGATATCAGGACTGCTCGTAGAAAGGATACGGCATCCTAACCCGTATCGATAGAAAAATCGAATTAAGAACAAAAAAACGGCCATTATGTGTTCCACCAGCCCTGTTCTAAAGAGACTAAAGAAGAGAAAGAAGACAGAGGAGGAGAACAGGTTCGCTAACGGACACCTCGACTACCAATTTACCGGGTGCACGCAACTAGCCGGTCA